ATGCATGCACTAGCCATTTCAGCTAAGATAACCTGCTACGTACTCTCGCTTTTCACGAGTGCTTTGCAGCGCTTCTTGCTGTTCAGTCGAGGCCCTCGAATGTTGCCGCCATTTCTTTATGCACGTCTGTGGGTGTAACTGTTGTCTAATGACAGGACCATCAGTGTAGATTTCTTTACTCGATGGCGTTCGTATGCCCGGAATCCGGAACAACTGAGAAAGAAAGAAAGAAAGAAAGAAAGAAAGAAAGAAAGAAAGAAGGAAAGAAAGAAGGAAAGAAAGAAAGAAAGAAAGAAAGAAAGAAAGAAAGAAAGAAAGAAAGAAAGAAAGAAAGAAAGAAAGAAAGAAAGAAAGAAAGTGAAACACAGATCGGTGGAGTATCGCCTGCATGCCCCTATAGATGGCGCCATGGGCCCTTCCGGATCCGCTTTGTTTCAACCACGTTCATAACCTCACATCCGTCAATCGTCGAAGTATTGATCGATGAGGGAGTTTGTTGAAGCAAGGCCGTGTGTGATAAAACAGCGCCACGTCTATGACCTTTAGCAAATGTCGTAAAAGAGTACTGCGATACCGACACATGAGCACTGTGCAGGCCTTTGGACTCGGGGACTCGCGCCGAAGAGCTATAGTTCACGATGGGTAACATGTTGCAAAGGAATCAATCTTTTTTTTTTTTCATAAAGCTTGCACCCACTTACGAAACAAAATATAACCGTACTCCGTGAAGAGCCTAATGGCATAACCCTGTGCGAAGGTCTTCGCAAACACAAAGCATGGCGAAGCACAATGACGCTTTGTTACTTTAATGCGTATAAAATAGTTTTATAGTTGACGATGGCACAAAATTTCGAGGCTCACATTTCCTTGAAATGTCAAACCAGTTTCTGTTTGAAGAAGCAGCGCCATTTGAATTTTTTTTTTTTTGCGTTGCTTGCAGTAAATACACGCTTACTCACGATGCTGCACCGTATACAGTCAGCAACGAAACTCCTTTTGATAAAATCTCTTTCAGCGTAAAGGAAGCGGGTTCATTTCAACGGGATTTAGATCGAGCATACGTCAGGCGTACTCCACTATTTTCTCGACAATGTTCGTTCTGCTTTGCTAGGCAGTATGATTTCCCAATAATGACCAACGCACCAAAAAACCTTTTGGAGAGCTGCGGTTCACTAAGTTCATCAATGACCTTGTTTTTTTTTTTCTTCTTTGTTATATTGTTCTGGAGCACGGTTACCCATCAATGCAGCTCTGACGTGCTCTTGGGCGTTTAGTGCCTCAAGTGTATAGGTTACTGCACTTAAGCCGTAATCGGCGCCCTTCCATCTGGTAAGCACGTTCGGTTAAGGGGCACGCTTAACTTAAGCGGCTTATCTACATAACTCAATATTATTACGTTCTCATTCTAGTTTTGGCTACCATAGTAGCGCTCATCGTTTAGACGCTAATATAATGAGCCGAAATTCATATTGTTGATCACAGATGGCTTGATCACATTTGGCATTTAACGCGCGTTATTTTTATGCCAGCTTAGCAGAAAGTGGAATAAGATGTACAGTTCTACATTAATCAAGTCGCACAGCGTTTTACCCACATTGGATTTACCCACAACACTAGTCTATCCACTTATCAGCGGCTAAAGACAGCGCCAGTCGAAAGAGGTTTCCGGCCAATGGTTGGGACTTAACGAGCGAGTAGGTACCGAGATATATAATGTAATAAATAATAAACAAATTATGGAACATCGCGTTCAATGACGATGATCTGATTACGAGGGCCACCGTAGCAGAGGGCTCCAAATTATTTAATATCTGACGTTTATTTTTATTTTATCTTTAAACTGTACCTACATCTATGTAGAGAAACGTTTTGATATTTCACTTCCATCGAATCACGGCCACAGCAATTGGCTTTGAACCTAAGACCTCGAGCGCAGCGCATTACCAGAAGGCGACCACAGCGGCAGTATTGTGTATATACAATAGCCAACTGAGGCAACTCAATATGTATATATACAATATAGCCAACTGAAAGGCAACTATAGTTGCCTTTCAGTTGGCTTCATTCATCGTGCCCACGTGAACAGTCGAAGTAATTAACTGCGCACTTTAGATATTTATTTCTTCATCTTGTAGCGAAGAGTAATAAATGGTACAGGAAACCTCTCCAGTGACATCTATAGGGGAGTCTCTACCGATACATCGTCTCTATACCGCGCGTTGCTCGTGGACGCCGCTCGCTCTCAGGGTCCTCGAGCTGGGCCGTTAATCAAACTGGTCGACTCTCACGGAACCGTTCAACAAACGCCTTTACAATATATTCATTTATTGTCCAGACTATCGTATACTTTACAATGAGACTTGAAAACAGAGTAAGCAAGGCGGGGCCACGAGCACCCTTTCTCATTCTGCATTGATCTTAAAGGATTCGGCGAAACGAAAAAGAAGCAGTGCGAATGCAGTCGTGACGTAATGCAGAGCAAAGGTCTCGTACGCGTAGGCGTATGCATTATGTATGTTATCCAACTCGGGGGGGGGGGGGTATTACGCCAATAGATTCGATAACCAATGAATACACAGGCAGAATTTATTTAACGCTTTCTAACTGCCTCGCATGACTTTCTCTCTTTCTCTCTCGCTCTCGTATCATGTATTACATTATTTCTTCTTTTCGTGTTTTTTAAGCTGTCAAGGTGAACGTACATTCCTCAAGCGCTAAAACAGCATCTCCTTTCAATATAGTGTTCTAAACATTGAGGCGCAAGTCCTGCAACAGAAGTCACGTACAGATCCTTTATAGTGTGCACTTCTCTGCTCCATCGCTATTCAGTCAGCAGCTTTTTTTTTTCTTTTTTCAATGAGATTACTTTATTGCAGGCTTACATGCATGCTGCTTTGTTGGTGTTTGGCGGTATCAATACAGTTGTTATCTCACTGCGACATTGTGTGTTCCGCTTGAGCTACAAAGACGCGCAAAGCAGAACAATGCAATAAAGGAGTCAGTACAAGATCTATGGTTTGTTTGTTTTTTGTTTTGTTTTGTTCACTTGTATTCGAAAAAAAAAGAAACTGAACCCTGTCAGGGAGGGAGAGGGGTTAGATCTACGCGTGTGCCTTGTCGGTCTAAACTTCGAAGTGAATTTCAATTCTCTCTCTCTCTCTCTCTCTCTCTCTCTCTCTCTCCCATTAATCCACTCCTCTCTGTGGTGGTAGGGGTAAGCGCGCACGTGTTACGTCACGGGAAAGCAGGTTGCATAATGAAAGCGCACAATGGAATGTGTAAACGCCACGTCGGAGCTAGTCTTTGTATTAGATCTGTGCAGTATAGGTTGAATGCAAGGACAACAGTCAGCAGGTCGAAACAGCGCTGACATTAATCGCCTGGACCCTTTTTGCGGTGCGCGTCTGCATTGCGAATATTTATGAACATTTATGAATATTGGGAGTAATATTAAGTACTGTTAGGTATCATCATTTGCTGTCATATATATATATATATATATATATATATATATATATATATATATATATATATATATATATATATATATATATATAGATATATATATATATATATATACAGCCCGTACGCTGGATCGGCTGTTCTTTGTCTGCTCTTCATCTTTCTCGCATTCGCGCTTGCCTTGCCCGCATCCTTGTAATGGCAGAGTTATGTTATTTACAAAACACGTGTGTGTGTGTGTGTGTGTGTGTGTGTGTGTGTGTGTGTGTGTGTGTGTGTGTGTGTGTGTGTGTGTGTGTGTGTGTGTGTGTGTGTGTGTGTGTGTGTGTGTGTGTGTGTGTGTTACCATGACCCAGTGTTACACCAGATATTTTGTATGTTAACCTCCTGCTTTTCCGTTCTTTCAACGTCTGGGGTGGGTAACCAACAAGGCATGTGCTCGGTTAACCTTCTGACCTTTTCTATTGGTCTTCCTTTTCTTCATCGCATGATTAGCTGGAAATTTTGAAGTTCAAGGCCAATCACTCATCTTTGTCGCCCAACACAAGTTCAATCATTGCTCAAGCAAAGTGGGCATTTTAAAAGTGGAAGCGAATGCTGTAAGGGACAAGTTTAGGCAGCGTGTCTGAAACCCGTCGCACGAGAACGCTTATGTGACGCTTCCACAAACTTCATCAGACCTATAACAACAATGTTTGTTGGCGGGCCATTCAGGGCAGTGGGAACAGTCTGACAGATGTCGATGCTGTGAGACAACAGATTATGTATTTCGTCTGAAGCCACTCATGCAGACGCGAACAAGAACAGGCGCGACCATCTTGTGATCTCGTAGTTCGTAGTCCTTGCCTGTGTCGCTAGGGATTTGTGTTACATATGAAGTGCTGCTTCTAAAATAAAATTATTTGCGAGTGTAGCGAGTGTCGTGTTTTCTTGCACTCTGTGTCCCTGTCAAATTTGTGCTACTACACCATATGTTACAATGACGTATCATGCTTGTTGCGCTGTCGTCGTCTTCTACTGGTTAACATGCATAGTTGGCCTGACAACAGTCAGAGTTATAGCTTCCAGTCCTGTCTAGGCGCATCCTATACCAACGTCGTCTTCTTCGATAAGGAAGCTTAAGACAGCCTTTCGGGTATATAGTTGGCTGAAACGACAACCTCCACGAGATACAACTTTCATGCAGGAACACGAATGGCGCGTAAACAGGTTGGAACACGGAAATAGACGACGCGGTCAGCTGGTTGCTCCAAAGGTGCTGCACGCAACTCTGTTGAACGCGGAGAGCGGTGTCTTTAAGACGTTGCCTCTACGCACAAAGAGCAATAAAAAAAGGTGAATGTAAAGGGGGGAAAACACACACACAGGAGTAAGCTGGGAACGGGGAATCTTTCTTTTTTCTTTTTCTTTCCTACGGGAGAATATGCATGAATAATGAACGCGTAGCGTGAACTACAAAAGCCCGGGGGAAAAAGGTAGATCTCTGGCGGGCTTCTACAAGGAATGAAAGAAAGTGGGGGAATGTGAGGGGCACGTACGCACGCACAAACGCTCGCTGACCCAAGCGCACCGGCAGCACCCGCAGGAAATCCGAGCGACCGCACTTGCTGTCCTGAATGCATCGTGCCGGTCCTCTTCCTCCTCTCTCCCTCTTCTCCTTCCAACATCGTCGCGGCACAATGGAAACAGCGACAGACTCTCGACGTTTCGTGGTCGTGTGGGCACGGGCGGAGTTGCTGACTGTATTCCTGCGCGGTCACTGCGCAAGAAAGGAAAATCATAATAATGAATTGAGGGAAGAAAGGGAGCTTATTCCGCCCTCGTGCAGAGTAGTGCACTCGGTGCGTAGTTCATTTCGCTCCTCACCCGGCATCAATGCACAGAAGAACCACGCCGCGCAGTGCGGTATTCACCGAAGGCATCGAGATGTGTTCGTTCCGCTTGTTTGCGTTCTCTTTTTTTTTATTTTTTTTTATTTCGGACGAGGACAGCTGCTTGTTATGCTGACTGAGCCACTTTCTTCGAGGCGCCGTCAAATGGAATTATGCGCGACGACCGCTACTGCACGTGAGGCCGAAACTTTGTGACCGCGAGCGTGATTATATTCCTTTGACTCGAAAAATTTCTTTGTCGTCTGTTGAATAAAGTTGAGATTGAGATGCTTCTCGTCCGGTGATTCTTGTACCCCTCGAGGGGTTTTCTACATGAACGGTTTAGTGCGCGCGGGAATTCATGGTTGATAACGGGGACGCGTTTTACGTTACATTGTTATACTTCTCTTGTTTTGTATGCCATTCCAATCGTTTCACTCTACTTTCACAGAGTTGCACGTAACAGCACTCTTGTAGGATTGACGACATTTTTGTGTTGGTGCTCCGCGGCCTGTGCGCCACCAGTGCACAAAAAGAACATAAAGGAACCACAATGAGTCTATGGTCACCGTCACTTGGGTGCCCTAACATACTCCTCTTTTCTTGTAGTAGGGATCGGCCACAAGCCGCGAATGATAACAATGCCCTGACATACATCTAACAGGGGAATAGCGTACTGTTGCGAAAGACGGCGACGCCAACACGGTCCCGAAGGCGCCACTGCTTTCAACTCCGCCGGGAAGGTCACCAGCCGTTTGGTAGCGTATGTTTCTCAGCTCGCGACTGCTTCTGCGCAGAGCTGATAAGACGAGCGGACGAGACGACGGTGAGTTAAATAAGGTTTATGTACAGCATATATACAGAGGCGTTACAATTTCGGCACTGGGGCCGACAGAGACTCGAAGAGCCGAGCTCTCCTCTCTAACACATAGGTCAGCTTTTCGCCTAAGACCGCCGACTCACACATGTCGGCTCTCCGACACGGGGACTCCTCTCACATAGGACCGCCGATCGCGACACGCCGCAGGGTTTTTTTTTTTATGCACCGGGTCCAACCAAAATGTCCAATCAGAAGCGCCACTGGTCGTCAGGGCAGATTCCTCCAATGGGGTCGCCGCTGGGCCACGTCAGACCCCCAGACACGAAGACGCCGGCTCGCTGTCACGTGCGCTGCTGACTCACTGCACGTGGGCCAGAGAGGCGCCGCGCGTGTTTACGCCGTTGAGTTGTTCGTGTCAGGCGGACTGCGGGCTGGCCTTGACCCAGATTGCCTTTTTCAGAGGCACGGACGTTTGACGAGGACTCGCTGGCATAACAGCACCCCCGCCGCCAGACAATGCACCGGAAAGACGAGCTGCTTCCACGGGGCTCGGATGTCAGGTGCTCTCGTTCGCCAGGTCCCTCCAGGTTCGCCTCCAGGGCCATGGGGAGAATACAGCTCCAGACTGTTCCGGAAACACATCCCATTTTTGACGACGGATCCCAGCTCCACTGGCTTGTCGCCACAACTTGTCGACCAGCTTCACTCGTCTCTTCTGTGACCACCTTCGGTTTCAGCACTTGTCGATGGTTCTGCAACTTGCTAAGAACGGTTCGACAACAGACAACACACGACACAAGCAAGTGCCCTCGGTCACCCAACAGAACACCAGACAAAGTATAGTACAACATATACCTATCTACGTGTCTATCGGAATTTTGTTCCCTCTACATCAAGAGGCACATGTGGGACACAAGACTCCTAAAGTAAGAACTTGAATTTTTCACAATTACAACAACGCAACGAATTAGAATACCACATAAAGTTGGCCCCTTGAGATCACTCTGAACGAGAGCGCTCAGCCCAGGTCGTGATGAGGTCAAAATTTTGCCCCGAATCGCCAGCGAGAAACCGAAAGGTTGAGAAGTTACTAGGTGGAACGCACTGCTCAATGCACCTGCATTAGCGTTTACCTTTCCTTTATTTTTTTTTTTGATAGCGAACGTCAAAGTTGCGCTGTGGAGCAACATGCTCCACTTCAGTAACCGGCCACTTTTAGGCGACGATACCTATGCGGCACCAAGAGCGGCTCACACTTTCGACGTTGCACAGGGGAACAACGATACGGCTTGCTACGGATTGACTCCTCACCGCTTAGCTCGATATCGTGTTCGATCACCCTCGTGTTTCCGGGGCGGTCCGAAACACGTCTTCAAACTCGGAACCAATCTTTCTCAGGTCCTCTTTCTCAGGTCCTCCTTCACTTAAGCTAGGCTCTAGGTTTATCTGCTCCCGGATTACTTTCGATCCCCCTTCAATTACCTCACTAGAACTCAAAATTTCTGCTTCCTCTTCCTTTGAAGCATTCAACAACAGATTTACGACCGCTTGATGTTGAACGTATGGTTTCATCAAGTTGTAAATTTTGTCCGGCCGCCTTCCTAATTTCACTTCATAATTTGTATCGCAAGGCTTCGATAATACTTTGGCGGGCCCTTCCCAATCAACCTCAAGCTTGTTCTTTTTGAACGGCTGCAGCAGCATTACCTGACTCCCTACTTCAAAAGCACGCTTCTTCACCGATTCCTCGTAGTGCTCCTTCGACAGCACTTTTGCCGCGTTTTTCTGGCTTTCCACTAGCGCTTCAATTTGGCTTTCCACTAGCGCTTCAATCGAGAGATCCTCACGCTGCTCTCGAATGAGCGTCTCTCGATCAACTCTCGGCAGCTCGCTCCAACTTTCCGCTACAGGCGAGAGCGTTGCAACCCTCTCGCTCTGACTCAATGGCGCCATGTCGTCTCCCCTTTCTACGGGAACCGCGCCGGTCGGTTCGGCGACGGGCCGCTCGCGTGACTGCTCACATGACTCATGCGGAAACTTTCCTTTCTGGGGGTTCCGTCGACCCGCCGACAAGGTCACTTGAGAGTTCACCGCATTGAACCAGATCAAGCTGCCGCGATAGCTTCCACGCTTGCGATCGCGTGAGAGCCATGCACGCTAAGTTGGGGAAGAACGATTTGCCCTGCTCTTTGAGTAGCTGCTCTGAGTTGTTGGAGAAAAGATAAGGAAAACGATCATTTAGCGCGGCAGACACAGCCGCTTCGGTGCGAAGCTCACCGAACGGGCCTTTAATGACAACCTTGGCGATTGGTAAGCGAACACTCTGCTCCTCGGCGACCTGCCTGATCCACGCGCATTCTCCTGTGAAGTCATCCGGAGACACCAATGAAGGATGGACAACGTCCATGGTTGCCGCTGAGTCTCTAAGTGCTCGGCACGTTTTCTCATTCACCCTAATTTCTTGGAGATACGGCTCCAACAACCGAATGTTTTTTTCTGATTCTCGGATCGTTGCGAAAGCAAACTTTTCCTGACAGTTTCTCGCGATGTGCCCTTCCTTTTTGCAGTTGCAGCAGATTAGCGGCTTCCGTTTGTTTTCCGATTCAAATGCCTGTGTGGTAGAAACCTCACTCGATTTCTCCGCTTCTGTTTGCCCTTCCCCTACACTGTCCTTCGTAAGAGACGGGTCCTTCTTGAAATTACGGTGCGGATCGGGTCTCCGTTGATCAGGTTTCTTTGAAAAGCCCTCTTTCCTTTCCTCCTTTTCAACGCGCACTGCCCTGCTATGCAACTTTCGGCGAGTATAATACTCCTCAGCTAACTCAGCTGCCTTGTTTAACTGTACGTCCCCAAGTCTGTCCTGCAGCCAAAGTTTGACATCCTCCTCGATGCAGCGGTAGAATTGCTCCAATGCAACGCATTCCACCACTTTATCGCGGTCGTCATAAACACCTTCGCCCTTGAGCCATTCAATCAAATCGGCTTTAAGACGAAACGCGAAGTCAACGTGTGACTCATTCCTCTTTCTAGCATACCGGAACCTTTGCCTGAAAGCCTCGGGTGACAACTTATAACGTCTCAAGAGCACTTCCTTAACCTCGTCATAGCTCTCAAACGCTTCCCTCGACAAGCAAGTTATCGCGTCGGACACTTCGCCGGGAAGAAGAGCTAGCAGGTTCCGCGCCCAAAGAGGCCGCTCCAAAGCGTTTCGCTCACAGACGTGTTCAAACTTGACGAGATACTTCGCCATATCCTCGCCTACTACGAACGGTGGCAGTTGGTCCCGAATTCTAAAACCGCTGACCTGAACTGTTGGAGAAGCTAAGCTAGGCGCCTGCGAACACTGTAGGATTGCCAATTCTAGTCGTTTCAACTCGAGACACTCCTGTCTCTCGGCCTCCTCGCGACGTTCACGCCTTTCAGCTTCTTCACGTTCGCGAGCTTCGCGCCTTTCAGCTTCTTCGCGAGCTTCGCGCCTTTCAGCTTCTTCGCGGCGTGCTTTATTATCCACCCAGGCCTCATCGACTTCCTCAGCCGACACTCCCTCATCCTTCATGATCTCAAGGATCGCTTGCTTTCGTTTCGCACGGCCCAAAGTAATGCCGAGTTCCTCACAAATTTCGATGAGTTCCTTCACTTTAAGGTTCTCCATCGTTCACACTAGCCTCTTGCTGTTTGCCCCTGTTAACAATTTACTTGCCGTACCCACTATAAGTCAACTAGCAAGACGCGCAAGCAATTTTTCACTCTCCCGTGTTTACCCCCTCCGCATTAACTTTGGTTTCAAAGCACTTCGACTTTGCTTGAAACGATCAAAGCTCACTCTAATGCTTCACACAGCCCTTCTCTAAACTACTACAACCTGAGCTAGAGTAGTCTGGTGAACTGAGGGGAAAACATCAGGCACTCACCGCATCGATGTCGCTGACGCCGGCCGATCCCGCAGCTGCCAACCACTGTTGCGAAAGACGGCGACGTCAACACGGTCCCGAAGGCGCCACTGCTTTCAACTCCGCCGGGAAGGTCACCAGCCGTTTGGT